TGGATTATTGTGATGTTTTTATCAGCTGTTTGGACTCTCATTCTGACGGCACCCATTCACTACAGAGGATCCACTGGTGATGTAATGCTACATTTCTCTAAATCTGTTCTGATGAAGAAACAAACTCATCTACATCTTGGATGGCCTGAGGGCGAGTACATTTTCTGCAAATTTTTATTTTTTCCTATTCCTTCAATGATCTTGAAACTGGCCAAACAAACAATGCTTTCATCACTCACTTGACAATGCCGTAGCCCAGACTGACGATGATGACAAGCAAACGGGCCAGAGTCCTCTTCAGAGCAGAGATGAGCTCGGCAAAGATCAGCAGACCCTGAGCTGGAAAGAAGGCAAAGAGATTCAACTATTAAACATTTGGACTCTTATTGATTGCAGCTTGTTTTACAGTAAAAGCCAGTGTGATGCTTGATGCAGATTAATTAAAATATCTGAATATCATAGTGTTAGATGATAAAATATTGATCCAGGTGCCATTCATTTGAAAGAAAGGTTCAATTTTAAGGTTATAAAGAAAGGTTAATTGATAAAATAATGCATCTTGTGTTGAAACTGAAAGCAAAAGAATTGTGTGCTTTAGTGTCATTAGTGAAGCATGTTTATAGTCACGAAGACCAGGGTTATTATCGGTAACTAAAACTATTAAAAAACAGTTAATAGAGCTATGGTTCATGAAAATGTACTTCATAAATATAGTGATATAATGTTAATGTTAAAAAATTTTAAATGTAAAAAAAATCCTTAAAATGGCCCTTCAAAAGGCGTTATTTTCTAAAAAAAAAAAAAAAAGATATTATATATATTCGGTTTTGATATTAATATTAAAAAAAGAACAAGAACTAATAAAAATGCCAAAAACAAATTACCAAAAATTATATATATATATATATATATATATATATACATACACACACTTATTATTTAATATAATAAATGTATAAATGCAATAATCAAAAATTTTACTATCCATATTTTCTAAAATGATTTACCCACTGATTTTCTCTAAACTTTTCCACAGAAACTCCCTTGAGGCATCTAAACTACTTACGATCATGAGAGGCCATTCGGTGACAGAGAGATAGCCATGGGTTCCCTTCATCACAACACTGACTAAAACACACAATTTAGATAAGATAGCATGAGATAAGATCATGCAGCCAAACAGAAACAGCTACATATTCGGACATCTATGATAAGAGCAGATAAGGTAATTAGGCCTACAGGTTAAATTCCAGTTGACATCCTGTTTGCTTGAATTGATGTGAACTACCAGCAGGTAGGGCCCGTCCCTCCAGGTCGTAGCAATCACATGATCCTTCGCCAACAAAGAAATTATGTGCATTACTCAACAAACCCTCAATCTATTGCTGTTGCCAAATACTCCATATATTATGTCCCAGAATGTCTCACCTTTGCTCTATATGAACCAGCCTCAGCAACAGAAGAACTTGTGAAACTGCCATCCTTTTTTTAAAAACAAAGAAAATATATATTGCTCAGTTTGAGAAGAAGTAGCTTTTGAAACAGGAACGTCAGTCAACAGTTCTACCTGTAACTCGCTTTCCACTTGAGCCGGTCTCACTGTTTTCGGTTCTGCTTTTGATTTCTGCAGATAAATATGAAATAGACAACATTAAAAAAGGCAAGTAACACTGAATCTCTTAGGATGCATTTATGAAATAAAGATTAACATCAGCCGATTGTCAGGAACTTGAGAAAGAGGTTGAAAACATGACACTCGTATGAGATTTTTGAGATCTATAAATGCAAGCATACATAATGTTAGTATTTGTTGAATTACCTTTCATTACTGATTTTAATCATTTTAAGAAATATCATTGTGTCTGGAAACGCAGACAATGCGAGAATGAGATTTCTATCACACTGTGGTAATGAGGGGAATATGTGCTTATAAAATGTGTTTGGCATATTTTATAAAAAATTTTATAAAATAGTAATAGCATCATTTTGTTAATACAAAATACAAGTGTATAAAATTTTGAACTTAAATGAAAAAGAGAAATATTGCCTTTGCAATTAATTGAAATAAAATAAGTTGAAGAACTAAAATTAATAAAACAGAATTTTTTTTTAAGCTAAATAGAAATATAAAAAACTTTAAAAAAACACACACAAAAAAAAAACAAAAGCACATACCAATGACTAAAGTTAAACTTAAATTAAAATGAAAACTAAAAGACATTAAAAGCTTATTCAAAATATGAATAAATGCTATAATTGTATATAAATGCTAAAAAAAAAAAAACAATGACCATGACTTATTTTTCTCAATAAAGGTGACATAAATAGGTTTAGCTGAAAATAGGGCAAACATTACTGACTGAAATCTAACAGTGTGAACGTACATTGAGCATGGGGAAGATGTGCATGTCACTGCGGCAGGATAATTCCCTGTATTTGTGTTGGATATACTGTCCGGGTCCGAGAGGGTTCGGGTCCAGACTCTCACCTCGACTCAGTGGCGTCTTCTCATACATCTCCTGAGCGAGCAAATAAACAAATGATAAACAAACAAAGAAGATCCCACACATGCTGTAAGGATTTCAGAAGCACACAGCTGCCACTCACTTCAATATTGTTGTACTCATTGTGACAGGGGTAATATTTCAGAAACCACTGAATGGAGAACATCACCTCCTCTGGACAACCGAATGATGCCACTGCAAAGAGAAAAGAGATCTTTATGTTACTGTGCAATCAATACAGGACATGTATTTATTAAAGGAGTAGTTCAACCAAAATGAAAATTTGCTGAAAATGTACTCACCCTCAGCCCATCCAAGTTTGTTTCTTCATTAGATTTGGAGAAATGTAGCATTGCATCACTTGCTCACCAAAGGATCATCTGCAGTGAATGGGTGCCGTCAGAATGAGTCCAAACAGCTGATAAAAACATCACAATAATCCATACCACTCCAGTTTTTAACTTCAAACCTTTGCTTCCTCTTATGGACTCGTATTTTAGCCAAAAGCAATGGTCTGAAGTTAAAGGCATAGTTCACCCAAAAATGAAAAATCTGTCATTAATTACTCACACTCAAATCGTTACAAATCCATAAGACCTTCGTTCATCTTCGGAACACAAATTAAGATATTTTTGATGAAATCCAAGAGCTCTCTGACCCTCCATAGACACCAATGGAACTGACAAGGCCCAGAAAGGTAGTAAGGACATCATTAAAATAGTCCATGTGACATCAGTGGTTCAACCCTAATTCTATGAAGCTACGAGAATACTTTTTGTGCACAAAGAAAACAAAAAATAATGAATTACCACGACGCATGCGTGTGATGCTGCTGATGCAGGAGCCGGCGTTCTGACGTAGAACATGCGCTGCGGCTCGTTTGCAAGCAGAGGAATGCACACGCATGTGTTGTGCTACTGCCGTGAATGGCAGCAGAGACTGACACGGAAGAGAAGAAATTGCTAGTCATTATTTTTGTTTTCTTTGTGCACAAAAATTATTCTCATAACTTCATAAAATTACGGTTGAACCACTGATGGACTATTTTAATGGAAGTGATGCAATGCTACATTTCTCCAAATCTGTTCTGATGAAGAAAACTCATCTACATCTTGGATGGCTTGAGGGTGAGTAAATGTTCAGAACATTTTTAAGTGAACTATTCCTTTTAAGCATTATCTTCAGTCTATGCAGAAATAACTTCAAGCACCTCTTAGTTGAATGTCAGTCTCCTTATACATGGCTTTTCTTAACAATAAAGGTCTTGATGTCTGCAAAAAAAAAAGAAAAAAAGAAAACACACTGTCAAATTCTTTATACGGTTTTCCCCAAGAAAGTACTCAGCAATAAATTAAACAGGTACGATATGGCATTGTCTTACAGTGGCAGCCACTAGAAACCTCAGTGGAAAAATTAGACAGGCCTTTAAATATTTGATAAGACCTGGTCACAAACTTTAAACAGATCATATGGACAATCAAAGGTGACCGCATCACAGCAAGATGCCAAAAAAATCATACATAACTGATTCCTTCATACTGAATACAGAGTAAAATCCTCAGTTTGCAAATTAAATGGCAGCAATAGGCTACATTTATTGCTACTAGGCTATAAAATGCCTCCTTCTGCTGTCATACAACAAATAGTAACAGATGTTCTTTGCTTTGTACTTTTGTACTTTGTGTTTCTATATATATATATATATATATATATATATATATATATATGGGTCAAAGACGAGACATCCCTTTTTGGTGTCTGCATCAAATTAAATTTACAGAAGTGATTTACAGTATATATACACTGCCATTCAAAAGTTTAGGATCATTAAGATTTGTAATGTTTTTTAAAGAAGTCTCTTCTGCTCATCAAGGCTGCATTTATTTGATCAGAAAACAGTCATATTTACAGAAAAAAACTGTAATATTGTGAAATATTATTGCTATTTAAAATAATGATTTTCTATTTTAAAATACTTTAAAATATAATTTATTAATGTGATGCAAAGCTGAATTTTCAGCATCATATTCCAGTCTTCAGTGTCACATGATCTTTCAGAAATTATTCTTAAATGCTGATTTATTACCAATGTTGGAAACAGTTTTGCTGCTTAATATTTTTTTGGAACCTGTGATACTTTTTTTCAGGATTCTTTGATGAACAAAAAGTTAAAAAGAACAGCATTTATTCAAAATAGAAATCTTTTGTAACAATATACACTACCGTTCAAAAGTTTGGGGTCAGTATTTTTTTTCTTTTCTTTTTATGAAAGAAATGAATGCTTTTATTCAGCAAGGATGTATTAAATTGATAAAAAGTGATAATAAAGAAGACTTATATTGTTAGAAAAGATAAAATGTCAAATAATCGGTGAAATAATGTTACATGGTCATTCAGAATAAGATATATTATTTACGAAAAAAAATAAAACAACATTCTGAGCTGTAGGCTACATATTAAAACATATAAAAGAAAAAGTGATCATACTAAATTGTATAATATTTTAAACGATTATAAACTTCTTGCTGATTAAATGGGTAAAACTTTAGTTTGAAGAATAGTGGCAAAGATTGGTAAACAATTAAAATAATTAATTAGTATTTGGGGGCTGCACTGTGATTTCATCTAATGATTCTTGTTCTAAATGCCTGACAAGATTTTCTGTTTATATGAACTGCTGTTACACTGAATGACATTTCAGTGTCTTCTATATTAAAGCTATTAAACTTTTATATGCTTGAAAACCCACTTTCATCTTTGACACACACACACCTTGCATCACAGCAGCGCAATACATGTTGTAAAAATACAACGCAATATTCAACCATTTGATTCTGACAGTATTATTAAACATCATCTCTCATTATCGCAGAGCCCTTCATGCCAATAAAATAAAAGACACAGTCTTATGTTTTGTAGAGCTGCAGCATGAAGCATCGAGCTAGTCCTCATGTAAACACAGCATATGGACACAGTTTAAGGGCGTTTTATCATTTTAATAACTCTGACAGCTGTCTCATAACGTGCTTTCGTTCTGTCACTAATTTCTAGAGGTTGTCTTAATAACAGTAAGCTAAAAACATCACATAATTCATTAACTAAAGATACCCTGGTATCTAATGCTAGCTGTTAGCATTTAGACTCGTCGCTCGTTTTCATCCATTTTTATAATCAAAAACATCTTCCACACTCACATTAAGCACTGTAATAGTCCACAGGCCCATCTCTGGAGCGGCGTTAACTCCATTTAATGACGAAGTTGTGAGGAGAAATGGGATAAAACAAAGCAAACGGCTGCTGATCCGAAACCACCGGCGGCTACTATCCGCCATGTTTACTGTCCAGAGACGCTCGCGCGGACAC